AAATCACAACCAAACAGGCTCTTAAGCAAACATTCAATAAGCGTATGATCAAGTCACGAGAGTTTGTCATATCCTATCCCTATTGATGATTGCGATCAACTACGCACTTCGATTCACTATTTTGTTGATTGAGCACTTGGATTTACAAGCGAGGCGGGATCAAACTTGCTCGACACATTTTTGACAATTTAAAAAAGTTTCTTAGGAAAATTTCTTTTGACAATATGCTGCGAGGGTGTTTGAAACCCATTTTTTGGAGAATGAAAATTTTGGAATAGTGATTGATGGGAGATTATGTGGTGGAAAAGTTATGAAAAGTTTTAGATTTGTGTGTAATATTATTTTATTGAAAGAATATGTGATTGAAATGAAGATAAAGAAAAAAATGAGAATGAGAATTAGATAAAAATGGGTGTCAAACTGGCTGCAATATTTTTCAAGCTCCATTTTGTCCATAAAAAGGGGCATCAAATCTCATGCTTTTCATTTCCTTTCAAAAATTTCGACTCCTCACTCTTCTCTATTTGGAGACACGGTACGAGTCAAGAACCAATGAAGGCATTATTTACACCAACCGTAGCTCCAAATCCAATCACCCCAAAATCCCCAATTTCTTGCCACTTTTCCTCTCATCTCTTCCTCTCTAAATCCCCATTTCCCTCCCGAAATTCAACGGTTAAACACAGACAAATTGCAGTGAAACCCACAAAAACCAAAGCTTCATCAATGGCATCAACAAATCCAGATAAAGTACAGACCGCAAATTCCTTTTCAGTGCTGTTTGTTTGCCTTGGCAACATTTGTAGAAGCCCAGCAGCTGAAGGCGTGTTCAGATACCTTGTCAAGGAAAGAAGCCTTGATTCCAAGTTCTACATCGACTCGGCTGGTACCATCAATTACCACGAGGTATACGTGCTAATTAAATCCCAGTCCCCTGTTTTTTAGTGGAATAATTTATAGAAGCTTCAATACAGATTCACAACGATATAGCTTTCTTTGCAAGTCTTTT